ACCCTCGTGGCCTGGATGCACATATGACTGTGCACTGACCTACACATTACCTAGGCCACATCCTCTTGGCCTGGATGCACATATGACTGTGCACTGACCTACACATTACCCACGCCACACCCTCGTGGCCTGGACACACATATGACTGTGCCCTGACCTACACATTACCCAGGCCACATCCTCTTGGTCTGGATGCACATATGACTGTGCACTGACCTACACATTACCAATGCCACACCCTCGTGGCCTGGACACACATATGACTGTTCCTTGACCTACACATTACCCAGGCCACACCCTCGTGGCCTGGATGCACATATGACTGTGCACTGACCTACGCATTACCCAGGTCACACCCTCGTGGCCTGGATGCACATATGACTGTGCCCTGACTCGGCTCGGTTGCCCATGGCTAACCAGCAGCATTCTGAAATCCATTGATAAGAAACAACAATATGAAACGCAATATAGACAGGGCTTAATTCACTAAGATATTCTTAAACACTATTCATCAGTTCTCACCAAAGTAATAAAGAAAGCCAAATAAATGTACTACTCCAGCAGATTCACTGACAAAGGAGGATATATAAAAAAAGACCTGGAAAACACATTCCCAGATTCTGGGGACCCACAAACTGACAAAAAACAAGAATATTGTTCTGCAAGAATGGTATACAATACCGTCAAGATGAAAGTAAGACACATGTGCAGCATCTGGGTATCTTTATTGTAGACGTTTCGCAATCCAGTGGCTTTATCAATACAAATTTCAGGACATAACTTGAAGACAATAGAACTATGTGCAGAAGATGAGGTAATCAGTCCCTCAACCTTGGAGTAGGTGTGAAGAGCACCGTAGTCGTGGAGATTCTGAAGCAGAAGCAAGGCGCCTGATGCTTATATACTAACGTCATGTAGAAATGGGACGTGTAGCAGACCTACTTCCACTGGGGAATCCCGCCTGCCAGTGACTATGCCCTTGTCTGCTACACGTCCCATTTCCACCTGACGTTAGTATATAAGCATCAGGCGCCTTGCTTCTGCTTCAGAATCTCCACGACTATGGTGCTCTTCGCACCTACTCCAAGGTTGAGGGACTGATTACCTCATCTTCTGTATATAGTTCTACTGTCTTCAAGTTATGCCCTGGAATTTGTATTGATAAAGCCACTGTATGGCGATATGTCTACAATAAAGATACCCAGATGTTGCACATGTGTCTTAATTTCATCAATATTGTCCTAACTAAACCTAATGAAACACCACTGCATCCCACTGATACAGCTAACAAGATAAACGACTTCTTCTCAAACATAGGGTCTAACCTCGCCAGTAAAATCCCACATACCAACGCCCGTGCTGGGGACTACCTAGATGGGAATTTCCCAAATTCTTTCTATCTTGTACCAACTGAGCCCACGGAAGTCACTCACGCTCCACACCATAACACCACTCACCCTCACACAATAACAACTTATCCTAACATTTCACACCATAACACCACTCACCCTCACACTCCCCACCATAACACCACTCACTCTTACACTCCACACCATAATGACACTCTCGCTCCACACCATAACACCACTGACCCTCTCACTCTACAAGATAACTCCACTCACCATCACACTACACACCATGGCACAACTCATTCTAACACTCCACACCACAACACCACTCACTCTCATACTCCTCACTGTAACACCACCCACTCTCACACCTTACACCATAGCACCACTTACTCTTACATTCCACACCGTAACACCCCTGTCCCTCACACTCCACACCATAACACCATTCACTCTAACACTCAGCACCATACGACCACTCACCCTCACACTCCACTCTATAACACCACTCACCTTCACTCTACACACTATAACACCACTCACCCTGTCACTCCACTTGATATCACCATTCATCCTCACACTCCCCACAACAACATCACTCTCCCTCACACTACACACCACAACACCATTCACTCTCACACTCAACATCATACGACCACTCACCCTCACACTCAACACCATAAAACAATTCACCCTCACATTCCTCACTGTAACACCACTCACCCTCACACCACACACCTTAACACCACTTACCGTCACTCTCAACACTAAATCACAACTCACCCTCTCACCTCACACGATAACTCCAGTCACACTCACATTCCATATCATAGCACCACTCAACGTCACACCCCACACCATAATACCACTCACTCTCACACTCTACACCATATCACCACTCACCCCCACACTCCACACTATAACAGCACTCACTATCAATCCAATCACCCTCACACCGGTCATCATAACACCACTCACTACTCACAGTGCTCACCATAACATCAATCATACTAACAGTCCATAAAATAACACCACCCACCTTCACAATCCACACCATAACACCACTCACCCTAACAGTGCACACTATACCACCACTCACCATCACACCTCTCACCCTAACATCACTCATCGTCACACTCCACACCATAACACCACTCACAATACACACGCTGCACCATAATACATCTCACCCTCACACCCCTCATCATAACACCACTCATCCTCACATTTCCCACCATAACACCACTCTCTCTCACACCCCACACCATAAAATAACTCACCCTCACACTTAACACAATAATATCACTCACCCTCACACCTCACAGCATAACACCACTCAGCCTCGCCTCAAACCATATAAAAATTCACTCTCACACCCCACACCAAAACAATACTCACCCTCACTCCCCACTCCATAACACCACTCACCCTCACACTCCTCACCTTAACATCACTAACTCTCACACCCCACACTGCAACTCCATTCACCCTTACACTCCACATAATAACATCACTCTCCCTCACACTCCACACCACAACGCCACTCACCCTGACTCTCCAAACCATAACACTACTCACCCTCACACCACACACTTTTACACCACTCACCCTCGCTCTCAAAACCATAACACAACTCACCCTCACCTCACACCATAACACCACTCACACTCACATTCCACATCATAATACCATTCACCCTCACACTCAACACCATAACACCACTCACCCTCACACAGCACACCATAACTCCACTTACCCTCACACTCCACACCGTAACACCACTCACTCTCACTATTCACACTTGACACCACTCAGCCTCACACGCCATACCATAACAACACTCACCTCACACTCTACACCATAACACCACTCACCCTCACCCACCACACTTAACACCACTCACACTCACACTAAACACCATAACACCACTCACCCCCACACTCCACACCATAACACCATAACTCTACTTACCGTCACACTCCACACCATAACACCACTCACCCTCACACCCTACACCATAAGACCACTCTTCCTCACACCCCACACCATAACACCCGTCACCCTCACACCACCACTCTCATACCTCTGCCCTCACACCACCACCCTCACGGAACCACCCTCACACCACCACCCTCACAAACCTACTAGAGTTTTATGACAAGGTGACAGATGTAAGACAAGAGAGAGAGGGGTGGATTGACTGCATATTTTTGAACTGCAAGAAGGCCTTCGACACAGTTCCTCACAAGAGGTTACTGCAAAAGCTAGAGGATCAGGCACACATAACAGGAAAGGCACTGCAATGGATCAGAGAATACCTGACAGGGAGGCAACAACGAGTCATTGTACGCGACGAGGTGTCAGAGTGGGCGCCTGTGACAAGCGGGGTTCCACAGGGTCAGTCCAAGGACCTGTGCTGTTCTTGGTATATGTGAACGACATAACGGAAGGGATAGACTCAGAAGTGTCCTTGTTTGCAGATGATGCGAAGTTAATGAGAAGAATCAAATCGGATGAGGATCAGGCAGGACTACAAAGAGACCTGGACAGGCTACAAGCCTGGTCCAGCAACTGGCTCCTTGAATTTAACCCTGCCAAATGCAAAGTCATGATGATTGGGGAAGGGCAAAGAAGACCGCAGACACAATATAGTTTAGATGGCCAAAGACTGCAAACCTCACTCAAGGAAAAAGATCTGGGGGTGAGTATAACTCCGAGCATATCTCCTGAGGCGCACATCAATTAGATTACTGCTGCAGCATACGGGCGCCTGGCAAACCTACGGATAGCGTTCCGATACCTCAGTAAGGATTCGTTTAAGACTCTGTATACCATTTACGTCAGGCCCATACTGGGGTATGCAGCACCAGTTTGGAATCCACACCTAGTCAAGCACGTCAAGAAATTAGAGAAAGTGCAAAGGTTTGCAACAAGACTAGTCCCAGAGCTACGGGGATTGTCCTACGAAGAAAGGTTGAGGGAAATCGGCCTGACGACCCTGGAGGACAGGAGGGTCAGGGGAGACATGATAACGACATATAAAATACTGCACAGAATAGACAAGGTGGACAAAGACGGGGTGTTCCAGAGAAGGGACACAGACACAAGAGGTCACAATTGGAAGTTGAAGACTCAGATGAATCAAAGGGATGTTAGGAAGTATTTCTTCAGTCATAGAGTAGTCAGGCCGTGGAATAGCCTAGAAAGTGACGTAGTGGAGGAGGGAACCATACATAGTTTTAAGGCGAGGTATGATAGAGCTCATGGGGCAGGGAGAGAGAGGACCTAGTAGCAATCAGCGAAGAGGCGGGGCCAGGAGCTGTGAATCGACCCCTGCAACCAAAAACAGGTGAGTACAAATAGGTGAGTACATCACTCACGCTCACACCACCACGTTCACACAACCATGCTCTCACCACCACCCTCACACCACCACCCTCTCACCACCACCCTCACCACCACCCTGTCACCACCACCCTCACACCACCACCCTCTCACCACCACCCTCACACCACCACCCTGTCACCACCACCCTCACACCACCACCCTCATCATATTGTCACACCACTCACCAACCCACCACCCACCCACAAACAACACTTTCACTCCATCCCTCACTCCACACTATCATTTACCCTCATGCTACATACCCTCACACTACCACGCTCACTCAACCCGTGTTGCAACACATCCTCATGCAATGCACCCTCTCATTACCTACCCTCACACTACACATTCTCACATCACACACCTCTCACACCAAACACCCTCCCATCACACACACACATTACTCGCCTTTACACTAAATACCCTCATTCCACACACACTCTCTCACCACACACCTGTCATACCAAACATCCTCTCACCACACACCCTGATATCACACAACATCTCTCCACACACTCTCACACGACCCATTCTCAAAACACACACACTCACACCACACATCCCACACCCACACCAAACACTCACCCTCACGCCACACACCTCCCATCCCACACCACATACCCTAAAACACACTTCCTACCTACATCTTATCCTCACAAATACGTATTATGTAAATGAACCAGCGGTGTTGCGCAGTTATGTTCTTCCTTATCTGAGTTTACACCCACCAACCCACAGCCTCCCAGTGTTTGCTTACTCAGGCTTTCAGTTTACCCTTGTACCAGACCAGTATCAGTCCTTCTTGCTGCCACAACTTGATCACTACCTGCTGCCACAACTTGATCACTACCTGTTGCCACAACTTGATCACTACCTGCTGCCACAACTTGATCACTACCTCCTGTCACAACTTAATCACTACCTGCTGCCACAACTTGATCACTACCTGCTGTCACAACTTGATCACTACCTGCTGTCACAACTTGATCACTACCTGCTGTCACAACTTGATCACTACCTGCTGTCACAACTTGATCACTACCTGCTGTCACAACTTGATCACTACCTGCTGTCACAACTTGATCACTACCTGCTGTCACAACTTGATCACTACCTGCTGCCACAACTTGATCACTACCTGCTGTCACAACTTGATCACTACCTGCTGTCACTACTTGATCACTACCTGCTGTCACAACTTGATCACTACCTGCTGTCATAACTTGATCACTACCTGCTGTCACAACGTGATCACTACCTGCTGTCACAGCTTGATCACTACCTCCTGTTACAGCTTGATCACTACCTGCTGTCACAGCTTGATCACTACCTCCTGTTACAGCTTGATCACTGCCTCCTGTTACAGCGTCCTCACAGCTATTTACTACACGACAGTGGTGAGTATAATTATTTTTTCTTCTCCAGATTGTCCCCTGTGGTCAGGTCAGTCCTGGTTATGTGTACATGGAGTGTAGAAGCGGCGTCTTGCTTAATTAAGGGCGTCCTCACAGGCGCGGCGCGCGAGCGAGCAAAAAAAATCGAGAAATTATGGATATTGAGTTAATCGTAGAGGAAAATAGCTTAACTCTTTGGCAACACAATGGTACAGGAATCAATGTTGCACGAATCAATGTTGCACGACTTCCAGGCGAATATCTCGGAAGCAACTTACTGATGTATTTTACTCCATAGATGATTTGCTATTGAATTAAATGAAATAATATTCACAAGAATCGTAAAAGAATGTTTTTTCTTAATTTTAGTGGCGCACTTTTGGGAATATTCCAATTATTTTGGTATTTGTGTGGGAGTAAAGAGCAGATATTTTGCAACACTCAAACAACCTTCAAACTTTATTTTCTTGTGGAATAAAGATAAGATATTTACAGGAAAGTACGTCACTTAAAATCGTATTAACAATGTTCTCTCGGTACTAATTCCCCGAACAACCTTACTTAGTGCCATATAGGCCTTATTGCTGCCAAATGTCGTTTTCAGATAATTGTCAGTAAATAGTATTATTTTTAGCTGTTCTTTGTTAGTTAATGGTTCACAAGCTTCCAATTTACACTCCTTAAGAACCCTTGAAAAAATGCCATGATGGCCTGGAGTTGTATTTGCCTTTAATTAGTCAACCTGTTTGATTACCACAGTCTAATAACTGTAATTTTACATACGTGTAATTTATTTTCTTCAGGCCAACTATAAAAGTTTATTTCTGGAATATTGTTAGTGTTTTCTCGTGTGAAAACCGAGAGGAAATAATTATTAAAAACGGAGCAACTTTTATTCTCCGTGTCAGTAAACTGTCCATAGTTAGTTTTAAGAGGATCTAATTTTTCTCTCACCTTCGTCGGGTTTGTCATCGAATCATTTGCCATTTAATTTCTTAGTCCCATTTATATTTCCTTATCACCTTTCTTATCACCCTCTTAATGTGAGTATATAATTCCATGAGATTAACCTCACCTCTTTTGATACGCCTATAAATATCATCTTCTGCAGTTAATGAGTTTGAGCCAACTATTCATCCATTATGGATTTCTGTTTGATCACGTTTTTCTAAATGGAATAAATGTTCTTTGAGTATTGTGTATAGTGTTTAAAAAACTGTCATATGCACTGTTAACTTCCTCATGTGTCTCTTATGTGTGTCACTGTTGCATGTCCTAGAGTAATTATGAGGGGGGATTTTAAATGTTGTATAAGAATGAATACAATACTACAAATCCACTGTTGGTCTGAGGGATACTCAACTTTACGTTGACTGCTCAGAACCCCAGCAGCCACAGTTCTGGGAGTTTCCTTCGATGTTAGCTATCTAAGGTCCCAGGGCATTTCTGGGTGAAGATGAAATTGTGTCATTGGAAAATCTACCTTCCACTGCAATTGATGACGGGATCAGGTCCCTTCACAATCGAATAATTGAAGCTACCAATGCAACTTGCCAATTAGCTTCAACAAAGATCTATCAACAATATAAACCTACTAGGGAAATTAGAGACGCTTTAAGAAATTATCAAGCAGAATGTCGAAGGCATCTTCAAACGCGACAACCACCAGTAGCTACATTGCACAAATTGAGGCAAGAATTAATTAACATGATTAGTCATCACAAACGTGACTTATGGAAATTGCTAGTTCTCCAAGCTAATCAGTATAAACGTGAGCCAGCAAAATTTTGGAGTAAGATCCGACAATTCTTAGGGGCAAAGCACAAGGCTCCTAACTACCTAATTCATACCTTCACTGATGAGGATGATGAAGTTGTTGAGATTAAACTTGATGATCCACAGGACCAGGCTAATTTGATGCGTGATGTATGGGAGAAAATTCTCTCCCAAAATAACAGTCGTCGATTTAACAATAATCATTATCAGTTGGTAAATGAATGGAGAGATGAGAACTTAGATGATCTACAACCACTACCTTCTATCGATACATCAACTCTTGAAGACGTCCACCCGCTTACCTATTACATTACTCGAGATGAGTCAGGTTATTGAAAGAATGCGAAATAGAGCTCCTGGCCTCTCTGGAATAACAATGAAACAAATAAAGTTCCTACCCAGAAATTATAAACAGTCTTTGATTAATATCTTTAATGCCATCTTGGCCTCAGGACATTTTCCAGTGGTTTATAAGACTACTAGGATGATCTTTCTTGCTAAGCCAAATAAAGACATCCACCAACCAGGGAACTATCGACCTATATCTTTAATTAAAGTCACTGGTAAAGTTCTTGAGAAGATCATTTCCAACAGACTGAACTACTATATGGAGTTTAATCACCTTTTTACTGAAAAACAATTTGGCTTTAGAACACATAGAGGTACCCATCATGCAATAAATATTATTTTCGATACTGTAGCAAGTCTAAAACATCAGGGGAATCTTGCCCTAATTGCCACCAGAGATGTTGATAAAGCTTTTGATAGCTTATGGCATGATGGTCTTATATACAAACTTATTGACCTACCAGACCATAACTGGACTTTTCTCAGATTAAATTATAATTTCTTAACTCAAAGAAAACTCATTCCCAACTTTCATGGCAGGTCGACAGAGCCTTTTTGTACCAACAGCTGGTGTCCCACAAGGGACACCAGCTGTCCCTTGTGGAAAAAGAAATGGAGAATTACTACTAACCCTGACAAAGTCCTTGTTAGCACCATAGGATGTTTTGCATCAACCATCGAAGATAAAGGGGGTATCTCCATCAGAGGTACACCTGTAGCCATTAGAAACCCTAACAAGATCTTGGGATACGAAATAGACAGGCTGCTCCACTCAACATCTCATGTAACTAAAAAGATCAACATTGCCAAAGCCGATCTTGGCAGTCTCTTTAGATTCAATCAAGCCCCTCAACATGTCAAAAAACCTCTGTATAAAATGATAATAAGACCTATACTCGAATACCCATGTGTCCCAATGTCATCAACAACAAAGACCAACATGCTACGGTTGCAACGGGTTCAGAATAGAGCTCTTCGCTTCATTACGGGTACCAGGAGGAGAGACAGAGTTAAAATGGCAGATTTACACGTACAACAAGATATTACTGCCTAAAATGTACGCCTTGACACCCTGAAAAAGAAACAACTCTATGCAATGCAAGAACTCTACATGCCAGATAGAGAACATCCTCTACAAGTTGAAAATACTACGGATTATATCATCAATACTCCTCCTCACAGGACTCAAAGAATGACTCTCCCACAAAGGGTTCGTCGTTTTATCCATAAAGATGATTACCATCGACCCACGATATTGAGCAACCTCCCTGATGAAGATGATTGGGTAACACCAGAACCCTTCTATGTTTACTGAGAAAATCATCGCCCCCAATTAGGGAGACTTCTTATATAACATTCTACTGTAAAAATTATGCTAAATTTACTATGGCGGGACACCACCTGTAAGAAGCCATTGTCAAGTAATTCTTCATAAACTGGCCAGGAAATTATTGCCTTCATTGTCGCTTAAATATCCGTTGTGCAATCGCAAAAAAAAATAAATAAATAAAAAAAAAAAGCAATTGCAACTTGTATATTTACTACCAATTCAGAGTCATGTACTTATATATCTGTTATATCTATGTGACTCTGATAGGCCAGTATTATACCCCTTCAAGAATATCTGATTATTTCACATACACTTTTTAAATTACACCAAAGTGGTTGGGCCACTTATCTTTTATATCCTACCTCACTCCCCCTTTCCACCCTTTTCCAATATTTCTATCCTTACCCATCCTTCTTCCTTACCCATCTTACCAAAGCTCTGGTCATAAGAAGAAGAAGAAGGTCCCATTGGGCATACAATAATTAATACGCCCTCCTGACATATTGTTGCATTATGTACAGGTGATACTAAGTGAGACTATGTCTCTAACCAGTGTTTGCACATTGGCCCGCCCATAATGGCATCGATAGTTAGTCTTACTCCACTAACATCTGACCCTAGGCACTGTAGTGATTTATTAGGCTGATGTTGTGAGAAATAGAACTTACCAGACTAATTGCAGTGGAAGTCTTTGATGTTACTACGTCACTGAAGCCGGTAGTTATGGCTTGATTGAAGATATGATGTTGGACATCTTGACTTGTTTTGTCACTATGGCCATGTTGAAAATCACCCGACATAGAGATCAATTTGTGGACTATATCCGTGGATAATGGCCAAAGTGTGGATAGTTACTAGGTATACTTTGTTTAGCAGATATAACTATTGGCTAGCATTTTACCCTCTTATCTTTGCTTCAGTTCTTCTTAATATTCATTTGAATATGCGACACAGAGAATAAAATATTCAGTCATGATGATATTTTCTCACTTGTTACTCGGTCCATAATTATTCATGGTAGGGAGAGTTTCTTGTGCTCGTGCACATAGGAGAGCTACATAGTTCTGCTACCACTTTCAGAGTTCTTCCTGGAAATTATCAATGTATGACTCGAGTTTCACGAGGTACATGTGGATATAACTTTGAATATTTCTATGTTTCAACAAGGCGTGGCCTCGCTGGTGACATTTGATCACTCTGCATCATATTTGGTCCATTTCGTTTTTCACAATCATTCTTGGAGCATCCAACACCTTTTTGTAAAGTCGATTTTCAGGTGACATCATGTCTGCCGGCGTAGGTGCCAGTTCTGACGAACTTAACTGGATTAAAGAACAGATTCCTTGACTTCAAATTGCAGAATATTGAGTATAATGTCACTAGTTATGATGTCAGGTTATTAAAGGCAAATTATTAAGAATTTTTAATGGTCTTAGGAAAGAGAAGCTTCCTTAGACAAATATGTGAATATATTATATTGCAGAAAATGGACATTCTGGTATGACTTAATGAAGCTTCGTTGCAAAACATTAGATCTCCCTCCATATCT